CCCCCCGACAGCAGCGCTGCCGCGACTCTCTGTCTGTTCCAGAATGCTGTCCTCTCCCTGCACGCCGGCACGCTCACGGACTTGCTCCCGTATCCTGGGGCTGAGCCTTGGGACTGCAGCCCTGTTTGCTGCTGGGGCCAACATGGCACTCCTCTGTCCTAACTGGGATGTGACCTACCTGTTGAGGGGCCTCATTGGCAAGCACGCCATGCTGGGAACTGGGCTCTGGGGAGGAGGCCTCATGGTAAGTGTCTGGGGTTCCCTGAACGCGAACTCTCAAAGATCCGGGAGGGGGAGCAGGAAGGTGGCACGGGAAGTGTTTTGATTCCTTGCAGGAAAGTTTATTCTAACAAGCTGGTCTTGGGTCTGCAGAAGCTTTAAGAGACAGGAAGACTAACTTGGGACCAGGCAGGTCAGGTGTGAAAGTTAACAACCACACATCCACAGCGTTAGATCAGGCTAGTCATCCAACTGTGGGTCCCCGGAGTCAGAGTCAAGAGGACAACTGAGTTCATGGGAGGTGCCCAGCCACTCTATTTCAACAGCTGTGGGCAGCACCTAGAAACAGCTGGCAAAGTAAATTTCCCCATCTCAACATTCTTCTCTCTCCTGCAGGTACTCACTGCCGCTATCCTCATCTCCTTGACGGGCTGGAGATACGGTTGCTTCAGTAAGAGTGGGCTCTGTCGAAGCGTAAGCACCAGATTCCACTCTTCTAACACCGAGAATGTCTCCACCTCTATTACTCTAGAGGCAGGATGGTAAAGAGGCAGTTTTGGTCTTGGGGCCTGAAGTCAGGTCCTCACTGTGACCCTCAGTAATGCTAAGTTCTTTGGCAAGTTGCTTCATCTTTCCAGTTTCAGGCTTTCATCTGTAAAATGGGAGCTGAGCAAGTCAAGGGAGTAGTGCTTAGTGAAGCCCAGATGTCTGTACCAGTGGGAGGAACTGTTATTCTCTTAGCGTGCTGGGCAATATGGACTGAGTTATGACACTGTAATCGTGTCATTGATGGAAATTTTCCTAGTTATTTTAACTAATATTTTCTTAGAACAGGAAACTTTTCCAGAGATCATCTAATCACTAGATTCTAATGTAACCCTTCCATTTTACAGATAAACTGAGGCCCAGAATAAATTTGTAACTTATTAATTATAGCAGCAACTGTATAAACTTGAAAGATCTCAGTATATGTGTGTAACACACACACACACACTCGGTCTCAGACATAAATCTGTGGCCTTACGGTAACTCCACAGCCTGCTCTGATATCTGCAGCCCACGTGTTGGGAAGCCCACTGACTCAGTTACATGTTAAAAAATTAAATATAGGCTGTGCACGGTGGCTCACGCCTGTAATCCCAGCACTTTGGGAGGCCGACATGGGTAGATCACCTGAAGTCAGGAGTCCGAGACCAGCCTGGCCAACATGGTGAAACCCTGTCTCTACCAAAAATACAAAAATTAGCCGGGCGTGGTGGCAGGGGCCTGTAATCCCAGCTACTTGGGAGGCTGAAGCAGGAAAATCGCTTGAACCTGAGAGGCGGAGGTTGCAGTGAGCCGAGATGGCGCCACTGCACTCCAGCCTGGGCGACAGAGCCAGACTCCGTCTCAAAAAAAAAAAAAAAAAAAAAAGAAGTGGGGACAATGGACATCATGAAGCCACCTTTAAACATTTCTTTTTGTCAGATAGAAATAATCACTGGCTGTAATACAGGCATAAACAAAATATGATGGAATGCAAACTATGTATGTGTGGACAGGGGTTAGCAGAAAAGGAAACAATTAAATCCTAGTCCCTGGGGAAGATTCCTAAGGAGCGGAGTTTTTAAGCAGGTTGCTTGGCTCATTGGTCTGTCCCTGGAAGGTGGCGGTTTCTGTAGTGTTTCCCCCAGCCATCACATGCTGCTGGAGTTCCCTTCCCCATCCGCCGACAGCAGCGCTGCCCCGACTCCTATCTGTCCCGGGATGCTGTCCTCTCCCTGCACGCCGGCACGCTCACGGGCTCACGGACCATCCCCCATCCCCCC